AACGTCCTCTTGATGTCCAGCCACTTGTGTCTCTGCCTCCTAGGGTCTCGGGGTTTTTATAGGCATAGGATGGGGACGTGGCAGGCCAGGGTGGTCTTGGGAAATGCAAAATTTGGGCAGGAAAACAGAAATGCCTGTCCTCACCTAGGTCCATGGGCACAGGCCCAGGAGTGGAACCCTAGTCTGGGACCACACCCTTCCATTCCCAGCACTTCCTTGCCGCACTTCTGTATCAACAGGATTTAATTTGCGTGTATTTCTTTGAGAATTTTTGCCTCTGTATTCATAAAGCATGTTAGTCTGTAATTTTCCTTTCATGTAACATCTTTTTCTGGTTGTAGTCTAAGGGTAAACCAGCCTTACAAATGAGTTGGGGAGTGATGTAATCCATTCTGTATTTTGGTTTTCTTTGTAAGGGTTTTTTGAAGATTTAATATTAATTATTTAAACTTTTGGAATAATTCCTAAGTAAAGTCATCTTGACCTGGACAAGATTTGGATCCTAACAGCAATTGTGTGAGCTGAGAGGAGGATCCATACGACTTCAGCCTTCATTTGAGACGTTAGCCTTGGCCATCATCTACATCTGGATTCCTGACCTGGAGAAACTGTGAGATGATACATGGATGTGAGGTTTTATTCACTAAATTATATGCTAATTTGTTAGGCTGCAATAAATAGGTAATACAACTGACAGTCAATTTAATATGGTATCACATATTGGATCCTGGAACAGAGAAATAGCATTAGTAGAACATTTGGCAAAATCTGAGGAAATTCCATGGTTGAGTTACTAATTGTGTATCATTGTCAATTTCTCATTTTCCATAAACATACTATGGTTATATACAATGTTAACATTATAGGAAGCTGAAGCATATAGGAAACTCTCTATACTATTGTTGCAATAGGCTCTAAACCTAAAATTATTTCAAAATAAGTAAGTATTATTTTGGGCAGAAAAATGAAGATATTTAAAAACCCCATTGTGCTAAGGAAATTAATAGGCATGCAGATAGAAAATGGGAAAAATGACTCTTCTTACCTATTCACAAGAAGAAAAAAAATTTTCTTTAAGAAAACCTCCTCAACTCATCAGTTTTTTTTTTTTTCACTTACCATCACACTTCCTAATACCTAGTCATCAGTTTGTGTGTCAGTAACCACTTCTTCAAAGAGGTGGCCATGCATCACCTATCCTCTTTGGAACACGTGACTTCTGGACATTAGAAGCTAATACTGCGAAATTTCAATTATAGAGAACATAAATTTTATTTCTGAATTCAGGAAAGTGTTTCCCTGGTACAGGGTTTCCTTCTTTAAGTTTTCAAAAGACAACCATACTTTCAGCCCTATAATAAAACCGTGTGATAATTCAGTTCTCTTTATTGTAAGACTTTTCTGGAATTTTCTGGATTCAGGTATTTCACTGACACTCTCATCATGGAATGAAATTATGCATTGTCAAGCCTCAAAGCCACAAAATAGATATCATCATGGTAGCAGGTAGGCTAGCTTTAAAAAAGAAAGCTTGCGGCCAGGCGCAGTGGCTCACGCCTGTAATCCCAGCACTTTGGGAGGCCAAGGCAGGTGGATCATGAGGTCAGGAGTTGGAGACCATCCTGGCCAACATGGTGAAACCCCCTGTCTACTAAAAATACAAAAATTAGCTGGGCATGATGGTGCACACCTGTAATGCCAACTACTCGGGAGGCTGAGGCAGGAGAATGGCTTGAACCCAGAAGGCAGAGGTTGCAGTGAGCCGAGATCACACCACTGCACTCCAGCCTGGCCAACAGGGCGAGACTCTGTCTGGAAAAAAAAAAAAAAAGCTTCTATATGTGGTAGTTTAGGCCAGTTCCTGCTTGCACAGACCTGGGAATGAATCGTTAGACACCAGGTTTTTGGCTAATGAAGGCAAACTAGTGATTCGTAATTTGTTGTTCACAGAAAAATCCTAGCAAGAAAAACAAAAAATGAAAGAACAACACACATACAGTGTATCCCTAACCCACCATGCAATGATCTAAGAGATGGACACAGGCTGATGGTGACTCTGCATATATGGTGGCTAAACAAACATTCCCACAACAGGGAGGACTGTCCCCTTATCCCCCACACAGCTTCCTGTTCACAGGCCACAGCACTCTGCTGGGTATCACCAGGGTTGTGTGCAGGAGCCATGCCCACAAAGCCTACCAAAGCATGGGAATGCACTACCATGGACATTTACAAAGCCAAGATTCCTGTATTTACTGTCCGTAAAGAAAAATTTAATGGGGTATAATCTCCATACACATTCATAGCTTCAGGGATAAAGCTAACTCTTGAGGCTTGGGGACTTGGAGTGAGAGAGACAGCTAACCCGGACCATATGCATCACTTCTGAGATTAGGATAGCAAATATTTAAGGGCTATGATTTTGGGCATTTATAAATTAAGACGCCTTATCACCCCTCTGAGCTCATACTCCACTCCCTGAGAAAAGACAGACTTATTTGAATTCCAAATCTTAAAACATGGAGAGTTATTCAGTTCATTTTATTTTAACTGGAGCTTCCATAATAACTAAGTGACTTGTCAAATCTCCTTTTCCTTTTAATGTATACATTAAAATATATGATGATGTAGATTATTAATATTATTCCTGACCAAACTCTTCAGAAAAAAAAAAAAGATGGGCTGGGCTTGGTGGCTCACGCCTGTAATCCCAGCACTTTGGGAGGCCGAGGTGGGTGGATCATGAGGTCAGGAGATCGAGACCATCCTGGCTAACACAGTGAAACCTCCTCTCCACTAAAAATACAAAAAATTAGCTGGGCGTGGTGGTGGGCGCCTGTAGTCCCAGCTACTCGGGATGCTGAGGCAGGAGAATGGCGTGAACCCGGAGGCGGAGCTTGCAGTGAGCCGAGATCATGCTACCGCACTCCAGCCTGGGTGACAGAGTGAGACTCCATCTCAAAAAAAAAAAAAAAAAAAAAGGTGGAGAAGCAAAGTTACAAGAGATGAACAGCCACAGGTAGATGTGAACAAGAAGGGTCCCACCTCAACGTGGCCAATGAGCGGTCATCGAGCACCGAGTACTAAAGGTTAAGATGTGGCAGGTCATAGACACAAAACTGTACCAATATGATGTCTCAGGCACAGATGAAACAGTCCTGAGCACCAAATGCCCAAACATGACTCTGATAGTGCAGAAGATTTGGTTCCCCATAACCCACTAAACCAACTGAGAGTCGATTTCACAGAGCTGGCCTGGACACTAGAATTCTCAGAAAGATGCTATTGAAAACATCCCAAAGTCAAACCACATCATGAGGTAAGAACCCTACACCCTGTCTCCACAGCAGCCTGAATAGAAGATAGAGTCCAGTGAAGATCAGTACTTGCTGTTATCTTAATTTAGCCTTCCTGAAGCCTCCAACTCTAGGTGTAAATGCATTCAGCATCTGAAGTCATTAAATCATTAATTATTTGAATTTATGATTTACTCAATATATTAATCAGGGAACATGAAAGCCCATTAGATAATCAATTACCCCAAAATAGGGTTGTTCATAGTAGCAATGGGGAAGAGCAAAACATTTTATGGAAAACAATACGTCTACTTATGTACTGACTGATCATAAAGCCATTGTATGCTGACCATTCATGTGATTAGAAGGACTACTGTGAATATGAATCTATATCTAAAATACAGATATACTAATGTTATAGATTGAATAATTAGACTTGGAGTCCCACTTATAGGGAGTATTGCTTATATTTTTTAAGATTATAACAGGATTTCTCAAGATACAACTTTTTCTAAATCTTTAGAGTTAACACTGTCATGCAAACTTTCATCGAACCCTTTGGCATTTCCATATTCCTTCTCCAGAAACTTTTGGAACCATATGTTATAAAATTACCTCTCTAGCCAGGCGCAGTGGCTCACACCTGTAATCCCAGCACTTTGGGAGGCCGAGATGGGCAGATCACCTGAGGTCAGGAGTTCGAGACCAGCTTGGCCAAAATGGGGAAACCCTGTCTCTAATAAAAATACAAAAATGGGCTGGACGCGGTGGCTCACACCTGTAATCCCAGCACTTTGGGAGGCCGAGGTAGGCGGATCACGAGGTCAGGAGATCAAGACCATCCTGGCTAACATGGTGAAACCCCGTCTCCACTAAAAATACAAAAAATTAGCCGGGTGTGGTGGCGGGCACCTGTTACAGTCCCAGCTACTTGGGAGGCTGAGACAGGAGAATGGTGTGAACCTGGGAGATGGTGCTTGCAGTGAGCCGAGATCACACCACTGCACTCCAGCCTGGGTGACAGAGCGAGACTCTGTCTCAAAAAACAAAAAAAGAGAAAAAAATACACAAATGGCTGTGCATGGTGGCTCATGCCTGTAATCCCAGCACTTTGGGAGGCCGAGCTGGGCAGATCATCTGTGGTCAGGAGTTTGAGACCAGCTTGGCCAAAATGGGGAAACTCTGTCTCTAATAAAAATACAAAAATGGCTGGGCATAGTGGCTGACATCTGTAATCCCAGCACTTTGGGAGGCTGAGATGGGCAGATCACCTGAGGTCAGGAGTTCGAGACCATCCTGGCCAACATGGCAAAACCCCATCTCTACTAAAAATACAAAAAATTAGCTGTGTGTGGTGGCATGCGCCTGTAGTCCCAGCTATTCAGGAGACTGAGGCAAGAGAATCACTTGAACCTGGGAGGCGGAGGTTGCAGCGAGCTGAGATGCGCCACTGCCCTCCAGCCTGGCAACAGAACAAGACTCCGTCTCAAAAAACAAGAACAAAAACAAAAAAAGAAACAAAAGACAAGCAAACAAACAAACAAAAAATACAAAAATTAGCCAGGTGTGGTTTCAGGTGCCTGTAATCCCAGCTACTCAGGAGGCTGGCTGAGGCAGGAGAATCGCTTGAACCTGGGAGGCAGAGGTTGCAGTGAGCCAAGATGGCACCATTGCACTCCAGCCTGGGTGACAAGAATGAAAATACGTCTCAAAAACAAAACCAAAAAAAAAGAATTACCTGTCCATATTTGTTGTATTTTTTGTCATTTCTAGTTTGGTCTTGAGGCCTCTATCTGGAGGGTGTCCATAAACTCTAGCCCTGCCCTAATGGAGTTCCAAGGGAGGTGCTCATGGCATTTACAGTGTGTCTATCCCAGGATACTTCTTTATCCTGGTGGATGGCCTAATGCCTAATGTCTGACCCCTGTTGTTCCATCAGAGGAAAGGTTTGGACTGACAGACATGCTGGTTTCCTCTGTTTTACCTAGGTTCAGTTTATTCTTACCAAGATAGCCACTCTATAGGGGATCCCTGATTAGAATATAAGTTAGGTTCTGGTGTGCTGGTCAAATGAGATGCAAAGAAGGAAACTCACCATATGAAATAACAGAAGCAGTGTATGACTTATAAATCCCATAAAGAAGAAGGCAGCACACTGCAGAGGGCAAATGGGAAGGAAGGAACTTCTGTGGACACACTCCTACAGCCAGCAGGTGGAGAGCAAGGACAGAGGGAGAGAGAGGGTCTTGTGGGCCAGAACTTTGATTGGGGTCAAGCATGTTGCTAAGCAGGTTTCCCACAGGGAGTGTTAACGTGTCACTTTACAGCAAGCAGGCATGAGTTCCATGGAGTTCTGTGTGGGAGGTGGCCACTGTGGCATATCTGTACAGTCCACATGGAGTGTGGGGATTGGTGGGTGGAATAAAGTAGGCTGTGTCTAGCGGTCTCCTAGATAGACTCTACGTGATAGATATCCAAATTGACGAGATTAAGGAACTGGGAGGAAGCAGAGAACTGGAAACTGTGTCACAGGTGACTAAGTCCTGCTTCTGTTGTGAGCAAGTTAATTCTACAGACAAAATGGATGGTGAAGCAATATACAATTTTAATAATTCAATATAACATGTCAAATAGGAATTCTGGTACTCCACTAGTAACTTTAATATTCCTAATTCTAATAGGTAGAAAGTAAGTGGAATTGGTCAACTTACATGAAATTTATATTGAAGCGTGTTTCCTCAAAAACAAATCAGAATGTGGCAGATGAGGCACTATGATTTCAGATTGTGAAATGTATAGTAAGAGGGAAAAATAGTGTGTTCTATTAATGCTAGCGTGCATGTTTTCACATCTTTCAAATATGAATGCATCTTAAAATGCATAGTGTCAAAACAGTGTTAGCCACGAGGCAGTCATAATGTGTTGGTTCTCATGTGAACATGCATGAACTTATCTAAAACCTTTCATTGACATCTTATGATGCTATCACATCAGCTTCAAAACCTGCAGAGTGGCTGTCAGGAGGTTGGAAAGATAATCTCCTGGAGAGTGGCTTAGGAATCTCACAAGAAATGTGGCATAGCCAAAGCTGCTGATTGACACAGATGATGATAATATGGGGAATGTCATGGAGAGGAGGAGCTGCAAAGTTATACAGAAGACTTTTACCCAAATGAGAGAAATTTAGAAATATCTTTGTGGATACATGGTACTTACTTTTTTTTTCCGTCCCACATAATCATGGAAGTAATCTGAAATGAATATCCACATTTTTACAAATTATAAAAAGTTTTCTCAATATTTATGACATAAATATTATAAATGATAAGTATTATCCATGTCATAGTTTGTCAGTGATTTTGTTCTCTGTGATGAATAAAATAATGATGTATTTTACAATTGATGTGATTGATACATTGTGCAAGTTTTAGAAAATGCCTTTAGTATTAACAAATGATCGTTTAGTGGTTTGTATACACCTGGTATTATTCTACATGCTTGACGTATTATTAGTTCATTAAATCTTCACAGCATCTCAGAAGGGAAGCACTAATACCACTCCCATGATCCAATTCTGAATCACAGAAATAAACAGAAAAACCTGAACTTGACTCAGTCTGTTTCCAGAATGCTTGCTCACATCAAATGTGTTAGAGTATCTTTTAACTTATATGGTAAATACTTTATAGGTTTAGTTTAAGAATTGTTACTCTTCACCACAGTCATGAAGCTATCTTTTTAAGTTCTAAATAATGTATTACATTGTCTTTATATTTATGTCTATGATCCCCTTGAAATAGGTTGTGTGTGTAATGTGAGAGTAATGGTAGATTTTATTTCCAATGATGCATATTCATATCCCTACATTTATTGAAAATTTATTTCCCCACTAATTTGTCTTATATATTATTTACCTATATATGCATGTGTTTGTTTTTGAGCTGTCTTTAATTTTTTTCCATTGGTTTTCTCTGTCTTTGTGCAAATACTGAGTGAGTCCCTTCATTTAATGCAAGCATTTTCCTCCAGTGCCGTTTCTGTTGTCCATTGTACTGTTCTATAATGAAGTAAAAGAAGGGTCAAATTTTGCATGCCTTACACCTACACCAGGATTCCCAGCTGTATCTTGAAGGAAGCGGAGGTTAGAACGTTCAATATTAATGTTGACACTAATGTCTCTAACGTCCTCGTGAATCATAGGCAATTCTCCCGAGATACTGTCTGCTTTATTGTGTGTGCGTGTGTTTTAACGTTCTCAGTGAATTACATTTGCTATCATGACTCCTGATTTTCTTTCCCTGATTTTAGGATACTCAGTAACTTTCTACTCCCCTAGCAACAGCCAGCAGTGGTAGGAACCTGCAGACAGCCCTGAGCGCGTCGTGCGCGAGCGCAGACACCCCCGGGGTGGTGTGTGGCTCCCTCCAGACCACGCCCACCAATGCCGTCGCAGCTGGTGCAGCGGAGCTCGGATCCTCTCCGTGGGGTCTGCACCGGCAAGGGCAGCTGCTGCCTGCCTTTCCTCTGGAATCGATTGAGGTAATAACTTGTTTTCATGTAAAGAACAAGTTTGTTCAACAGTGATTTTGCTTTTGACCAAAGACAGGCCTCGTTCGTTACCCCTTAGGGCCTTGTCTGGTAATACGTGCTTTTGCTTTTTTTAGGTGGGGGTGGTGCGTAGAGAGGCACTCACGAATGTTTTTTAAAACTTTTGTATAAATTTTCATTTTATTCGTCACATAAACACCATCTACAAGCAAATCCACATTCTATTTTGTATATTAAGGCCTTTCTTACCTGTGATTTAAAATGCATGCATTCATTTATTCATTGTTTCAAATAATCGTTTCAATTATTTCCATGTTTTCAGGTATCACTCTTCACTATATTAAAAGATAATATCACTTTTATTATTTTAAAGACATTTATTATACATTCTCTGAGAATTTTCCAGAAATTTCCTCTGCAATACCTCTGGTTGAAAAGGTGAGGGACAGAGATTTTACTGGGAGTCACAGGAAAAGTCTACTCAGTCTCCTGCTTAAAAAGAGCTTTGAATGTTTTTATTGCATGGCTCAATTTGCTCTGATTGTCAGATGTTCACAAAGGCATTAGCTTGTATGATTGAACTCCGAGACCACCTTTCTGAATGCATAGACTTGCCACATTGTTACTGTGTAAGCATGAATTTCATCATGTTGTCAGCTTTTCCTCCTACCCAAAAGCTGTAAACGTTGGCTAAAGTCCTGGAGTGCTTGCTCCTCATTTTTGTAAATGTGTGCCTGGCGTTTCCTTGAACAGATGGCTCATAAAACAGATACAAATTCTCTTTGATGAGTAAATACTAAAATTGTTTTCAGTTTTCAGTTAAATAAAAAATGCCTCTCAGAAAATTGGCAAATACGTCTCCAGGCAGCAAATATTTTTAGATTATGGTCTTGTAGAAATGTAGGTACAATAAGTATTTATTTTCTTTTATCACATAGCATATTTCGAAGAGGTTTTCATGCATGTTACTTTTTCGGATTAGCATTTTTATTGACAATAAGTTGCCCATCTTTCTATTTCTGATCTGATCTTTTGATGTCTGTCGTTTTTGTCTGAAGCTTTGACTCTCCTTTAATGCAGTTTGCATATGAAGGGAAAGCTGGTTATCCTGACTAGTAAAGAAGGGATTACTGAACCTGAAACTGTGAAGAGACAACAAAAGCAAGAAGAGGACAGAAACAATTCAGGGCTCCAAGAAGCAGAGTAGGATCTGTTGAGTGACTGCAATGTGGAAGTCTCTAACGTCAGCAAGACTGTGCTGAGAGGAGCACATTTTCCTGTGAGTGTTAGGGACTCAATGGCCTATGTCTGCTATGCAAGTAATGAGTCCTCTGTCTAATGGTATCAAAACTATTCTGGAAGGATTTGTTCAGGATTTATGAGGTATTAGCAACCTACAGAGCAAGAACCCTGATACTTTATGGTTACTCCAAATTATTATAATAGGTGGTGTTTGTTTTGGCAGGTAAGACTTCAGTCAGGGACTCTGAGGTTGGTACTGTATCCAGAGAATTTAAAGTCCAGATCTTAGTTAAAAAAATGGCCGGCCGGGCGCGGTGGCTCAAGCCTGTAATCCCAGCACTTTGGGAGGCCGAGACGGGCGAATCACGAGGTCAGGAGATCGAGAGCCATCCCTGGCTGAAACACGGGAACCCCGTCTCCTACTAAAAAAACATAAAAACTAGCGGGCGAGGTGGCGGGCGCCTGTAGTCCCAGCTACTCGGGAGCCTGAGGCAGGAAATGGCGTGAACCCGGGAGGCGGAGCTGCAGTGAGCCTGAGATCCG